CAGAAGAGGGGCAGGGCTGATGGGAGAAGGGTGAGACATACACACACACGGCGTGTAATTATGCCACTAGTTTCTTGAATAGAAGCAGTTGAATTTCAAAGGCTGATTCTGTGTCTGCTTTGTTGTGGGTTACGGATGCGGTGAGACGCGTTTGACCACCGTTTGGAGGCGATTTGGCTTTGGAGGGGGCCGTAAAGGGAGGTCGATACTAGAGCCCAATGTGCGCCCTGCTGCCAGCACCGGTTGCCCCTCGCTGTTGTCGGGTGTCAGGGCTGCATCCTGCTCCCCATGGGCACCGTAAAACACTGGACACTGTATTATGATATATGAATTTAACCCCCTCCCCCCCCAAAAAAAAAATCATACGGAAGGAAAGAAAATCCACATCCGCTGCCCATGCTGCTCTGTCTCTGCAGTCTCAGCACCTGGCTGATGGTGATAAGCGCATCCGAGGGGAGCAGGAGCTGCGCAGGGGTGACGCATCAAGACCAGGGAACAGATCAGAGTAGGGAAGAAACCGACGTCTGCACTGCCGTGCAGCACAGCCCAGCCAGCTGCAGGCAGCAGTGGGCCTCCGCGGGAGCTCAGTACCTAGCTCCCATCTCCCCTGTGCACCTAGCAGGGTCCAGGCACGACCCTGCTTTCGCAATCTGCTTTCCAAAGGTCCTCCACAAAAGTGCTTATGGAAAGAGCTTGTGAGTAGCAGGGAGGCTGCTGGTCTCCATCTCACTGTGCCTAACTGCTTTTCAGAGGGAATAAGGTAGCTCGAGGAAGAGTGTGAAACCCGCTAGGAAAAGGGGAGAGGAGCTGGTGGAGTCACCTTGACAGCACTGCTGTGATGGGAGAGGAGGGGAGCTACCCCATCCCCTCGCCCACTGCCCCAGGAGCAAGGCCGCACCCAGGCAGTGAAGCCAGGCGTACGGACAAAATGGTCTGGCTGGGTTTGTTGGGAATTTGCAGGCCGCAGTGACGACTATTACACCTGCTGAGCCAGAGGCTCCTTGCTCAAAGAGAGGACCTCCTTGCCCTCCTGCACCAAGCGCACGTCTGTGAGATGCTTGCTTGAGTCAAAACCACCCTGAACGGAGCAGGGAAAAACACGACTGCAAAAGTACTGCGTGCCAAGAGGCAAAGAAAAGGCCTTTTGAGGATACACAGCTGGTATCAGGAGCAAAGATATTCAAGTCCAGGCTTATCTAAACGTGAATGAGCAGGAGAACGCTCATCCCACAAACACCCCGACAACCGGTCAGCTCTTCTAAAGCAGCTTCAGCCATGGCACGTCAGCTTTGTGAGCTGCCCTCCACACGTAACCGAGTACAACGGGCAGGAATCACTACCTGGAGCTGTGGTACTGAAAGCCAGCAAGAACAGAGTGAGTCACAGGTTACATTTAAAGTAAAATCTGTGAGTTCAGTTAAATCTGGCTAAGGAGCTAACAGTTACAGGGAGAGGCACAAGCAAATAAAAAATGAACAAAAAAAACATAAGTCACTGTGCCACCCAGCATATCACACGTGGGACCAGCTTAAAAATGAGACAGGAGAGGAAACTGTTGTCTAAACCACACATTAAAAGGCTAAAAGAAATCAATAAAAAGAGATTTTTAAGTACTACAATCTCCGTAACAGAGTATTTTTTATTTACAAGTTTAAAAAGCTAAAAAGAGATTTAAGTACTACAATTTCCATAACAGCATTTTTATTTACAAGTTAAAACAGGACTGTTACAAAACAGCAAGTGTTTAAAGATTCTGGTCCAAATTTGGATCAGAACTGAAGCCAAGACATCAGGAAAGTGGCCCTATGCCCAAAGGGAAGGAAACAGCATGTCCAAAGCCACTGCGAAATCTTCTAGAGAGTTCAATGCTAATGCTTTGGGGATTTCACTCCAGCTACGCAGCCCACTGAAGGGCACGGGGTGCTGCTGCCAACAACCAAAGCTCATCTCTGTCCAAACCCAATTCAGTGGCCTACCATAACGATCCCTGCTGTCCCCCAACCCCCAGTTTTAACGTGACATCTTTTCCTGGCCGTTTTAAGCAGGGGACAGATCACGCTCCCTGCTTTTCAAGGTCTGCTGTCTGCATAAGTGCATGGTGGTGATCCACAGAGCTGTTGCCCCAAAAGCGCCAAGATATCAAAGTTCTAAGATAATTTCTCATTCCAAGAGCGAGATGCTTCCCGTGACTATGGAGTCCTGTGGGGCCATGGCACCAACCACAGAGAAACACTGCAAGCAGCTCTCAAACAACAAGCAAGAAGCATGGCACTAAGGAAAGTTGACCTGGAATGGACACCTGAAAGCCTCAAGGAAATATTGCTCTCAGGGCCCAAACTGGGTCAACTGCTCCTCACTGGCTTCCCAGCCACAGTGCTGCACCCCACAGAAAACATCTGCACTTCGAGACCGCTCCACACAGGCTGGGGAGCTCAGGAAATATGCATTATTGGGGAGAGTTGGACTCGCTCACGGTGCTTGATCCAGGCTTTCTTCAGCGCTGCTGAACGAGTTAAAGGCTTTGTGCAGAGCCACGCGGCGAAACACGTCCGAGTGAGCTGCTGTCTTCTCTGATAGAGACGCGGGAGCATCCGCTGGTAGAGAAAAGCCAACACATCAGTGGGGAAGGGGACACAATAAAACCAGCATAGAGTAACTATTTGCTTCGAACTCTTCCCTTATCCCTTAGGAGTTTTTCCATTCTCCTTTACTATCTTTTTTCTCATAACCCTTCTCTCTCCTTCCTAACACTGTGTCTGACATCACCTGAAAGGGATCTGAACGGCACCAGAGCGCGCAAGTGCTTCAGAAACGCCTGCTGCTGAAGGGCTGTTTGTGAGATGACAAAAACATGGGAATGCCTTAGCCCTCCAGCTGCTTCCCCAGCTCACGACATCACCTGTAAGGGATCTGAACGGCACCAGAGAGCGCAAGTGCTTCAGAAACACCTGCTGCTGAAGGGCTGTTTGTGAGGTGACAAAAACATGGGAATGTTAGCCCTCCAGCTGCTTCCCCAGCTCAGAAGACACAAACTGGTGAGCAAAAGCAGAGCTTCCCCTAGGAAGGGCTGGCTACTGTGGGGAAAGCAGAGGGAGAACTGTCTACACAGGACCGGTTCCCCTCAAGCCCCAACGTGACCCACCGTGGGTGGGTGCAGCTCGCTGAAGGGAGGCCTCCTGAGCTGCTCTTCTTGGAGCTCCATCTAGCTGCGCCTTGGTTTGAGCACTTCCCAGCTGAGCCAGCCTGCCTGGGCAGAGAAGGACGCCCAGGTGGCTGGAGCAAGCCCACAGCTCTCCACTGCCACCAGCAGACAAACAGGCAAGTGATTCCTCAGCCCAATTTGACATCTATAGTAACCAGTCATGGAAAAGCACAGATCCAGGATTAATCTACGACACATTGCTAGGGCCGCACACGAAATCCAACACCGCAGTCAGTCTTTGCCATATCAGCAGGCAGCGTAACAGATATAAAAGAGGAGGGAGTAGGTGGTGTTGGGGAAAGCTTTTCAGGCAGAACCTGTTCAGTACTTCAAAGTACCCCTGCCTTTTCAAAGGGGTCATAAACCTCACTCCTGACTCTCTCTATGCTGTTGTACTGCACACACATGCCAGCACACCTGCCAGCATAGTAGGGGTGATCAGGGTGTAGCTGCACAACACGAGACATCTCAACACCTGGGCTCCGCTTGCGTCTGCATAACACTCACTAATCATTTCTCCAATTGCGTTGAGAAAAAGAAATTCCTGGAACTAAAAAAATTCGATCTTATTCCCCTACAACTCCTCCACCACCCCACCTCAGAGACCATGCCAGCTTTTCATAGACCAGAGATGAGTCCAAGGCCGTAAGTAGACTGGAACAAATTATCACTATGACTAAGATCGACAACATCTGAATTTCTGACCGCACTCGTACACTGGGCTCTCCCACTTGTGCAGACTGTGCCAACACAGGCAGGACTCTATCCGCTAGACATGTGGAAATGGCATCTTGATCCTGCTGGGACTGTACCAACATCAGAGTTTGCACTCAAACTCTTCTATCACCCTTTCTCACAAAGAAATAAGATAGCTTACTCCTTTCTGCCCACACGCTCAACTGGACAGAAACTCCGTCCACTTGCAGAGCTACAGGGCAAACGATCTGCCCATCCAGCACCCCCAGACAGACCTCAGGCCCATCCACTTACGTGTACATGAAATAATGGCTTCAGTGGGGAGGCTGCGACAGAGATCTCCATAAAGCAGCTTTGCGCTGAACAGAAAGGTCTCTTTTTTTCCTGATACATTGTAATTAAAGGCCAACACGTTACACAAGGAGTTCCTCTGCAAGGTTCCTTCTAGATGGTCTGAAAAATGTTCCTGGAGGGACAAAGACAACCTCTATAACACCGAGCCACAAACAGAGTCCCTCAGCACGGGGCTGGGAGCTTGCCAAGAGCAGTGCCCCCACCCTATGTACCAGGCCGGTGTGTCCCATCCTATGGGACAGCGGTACCTTGAGCAAGCCTTGGGCAGAAAAGATCGGAAGGTGTACATGAAATCCTAACAAATTACCCAATTTGAAAAGACTTATTTAAGCCATGTCCTCCAGAGGCTTTTTACAGAAGCACAGCTATTTCAGTTTAGGGACTTTTGGAGGGAGAGGGCAGCTTTCCTGGAATACGACAGATTTTAAGTGACCTGTAACAACCCATCCAACTGCATGACAATCAACGAAACAGGCAACTGAGCTTATAACCATGCAATAATTGGTGGCGGAAGGTCTAAAAGCCAGTCCTGCAAGAGCTCCACGTAAAAATTCTGCCTAGGTTCCCTCAGCGCTTCTGAGACATACACGCTCGTACAGCTTTTAAGATGTAAATGAAATCTATTTCCGTTTTCCCCATCCTTCCGCTCACACATATACAAACATCCAGAATAGGACTGCAATGGTAGTAAACCCTTGCCCTCGGAGAGCTTAATCCAAACGTTAGCACTCAGAGCATCCTGCCAGAGACCACAGTAAAAGCTAAGGGACTTACTCCACAGTATAACTTATGGTTTTGTTAAAACCAAGTTCGAGAACGCAGGAACGCATGAGCTGCGCCTATGACACTTCACTCGCTGCTACATAGGTTTTGAGCTATAACCTCATTTAACTGGGAAACGGGAAGGGAAGATGCTAACTTTTAGGTCATCTAAAAAACCTCTTGCTACTCCAAAGGGAAAAGGACAGGTGAACATCACTGCTGGGCCACTGGTACCTGTAACTGGTCGGCCTGGTACCTCCTCCCAACATAAGCATTCAGGTGGTCGGACAGCACAGATAGGAAGCGCTTGATGTCTGTCTGCAAGTACTTCTTGGCTAACTGCTCCAAGGGGATGAAGACCGGGACAGAGTGGCGATGAATCTGCACCGCTGGCTTGATGATGAGGTCCACGTAGTAAGAATCCAGGTAGGTGCCCTCGTAAGCAGTGCTGATGCAGAAACACACGCCGCGCTTGGTCAGCTTCCCACTGATGCCTTGGGTCCAGAGAGAGGGTTTACTCAGCATCGCTATAGCTTATTGCCACAGGGAAGCTTTGCTGGGCCAATACAGACCGCAAAAAGAGCTGTATCCCCGAACATGAAATAAGTTACACCAGCTCAGAGAGGTCCCTAAGAGGATTAAAGGCTTAGAAGAGTTTAGGGACATAGAAGACAGCAACTTTTTGATAAGGGACTCCTAATGAACACAAACATTAGTGAGTGGTAGCTTAAACTCCCAATAACTGAGTTATGCTGCCACCTTCAAACACACTCTGGCTCCAGCGTGCCACGGGGAAGAGGCTGCTCCAGTGTCCCAGGCTGCCCTGAGTGCAGAAATACAGCATTTCACTGCTGACGAGAGGGACAGGAACGCTTACGAGCCCAAGCCATCTGCATCACGGCAGGACTTGCTTCCCCACACTCTCCTTCTAACAATCAGAAGGGATAGCAAAGGTAAGTCTCATCGGAAACCAAAAATACAAAGAAGGTGCAGGAACATGTGAAAAGAGCATGCTGGCTTTGCAAGCCTGCTCAGAAGACTCAGACCCACCAGCTATTTAACTGCCCAACTCCCAAGGACCAAGGCAGTTGCACACTTTCCAGAATCTAGATCACAGTCTGAATGATACAGTTCAGCAAATAATAATCTCTGCAACGCCCCAAAGGCCTTTTGTGTGGGATAGGGTATTACAACGCGATTGCTCCTCCAGCCTGTTCAGATTTTAAAGGCTCCAAGCCCAACGGAAGCATATTCGCAGGGAAATTATACTTCACATCAAGTTTATCCTCCAAAACTCAGCACCCTAGAAGTGCAGCCATTAGTTGACCACAAACAGATCTTGGGACATTACCTGTGAGGTAGAAGACCTGCAGCATGGCCTGAACGGTTTTTATCTTCCACTCTAGAACCGCACGATCACTGGGCTGGGCTGCATCTGGGACACCACTTGTCATGACGCCTTCTTTCCCGAGGAGCTAAAAAAGCAGAAGATGAGAACCACAGCTCAGAATTACTGACGAAAAACGCGTCACTCGTAGGGACTGCAGTCAGGCTAGAGAGAGGTAACCCAGCTCTGAGACAAACAAGATAGCATTTCCTGAAGAAAAGGGGAAAAAAAAAGTTTGGAAATGACCACATAACCTCTAAGCAAGGCGACCCAGCAGTACCGCCTGTGTACTGAAAACAGGGGACACTCGGTCTGTATGTCACTTATAAGAGGAAAATAAAAAGTAGAAGCTGGCTGTATTCTATAAATAACCTCAGTAAATCCATCTTACAAGAACAGGAGCATGCCAGAGCCCTCCACCAGGCCTCTGCAGTGAGCTCTTTCTCACCCTTTTTTGCTGCAGGTCTACTTTAGCCCGTAGCTCATCCCTCTGAAGCCTCAGCTCTTGCACTCGTGCTTTCAGCCTGGCAAGTTTCTCTTCTTGCTGCTCAGTTTCTTCTTGCTTTAGGGCTAACTCATGAGCCCGCGCCTCCAACGTTTCCAGGTGAGATAACACCCCTGCAAGGAAGAACGTGACACGCTCAAAAATCCAGGCTGTGTCTATTAGTTGTCTGCACTGGGATATCCGAAACAAAGTAGGCCCAGTATAGATACACAAAGAAACTACTCACAACAACCCTCCAGTGGGGCAGAGAAAAGGCAAATATCTGCTAAAGAGGCTTTTGGGCCTTTCAGACAGCAGAATCGGGTGCTAGCAGACACTAAATACACCCATACCAGCTAGCTAACTTCCTGAAGAGCAGAGTAAGGTAGCAAATGCACCAGTCTTCATCCCCAGAGACCCATAATTCCCAGTTTTCTTTGCTAACCTGAGAGGCAGAGCAATTAGGTGACTTGTCAGAAGTCCCCTACCCTAACCTGACCATGAGTGAACCAAGGCACGACTTGGCAAGCCAGGAGATCACTGCTGGTCCCAGGCGTTTTACAGCAATATCCTGCAGGAAAACAGAGCTTGTACTTAGGCACCAAGTGGGTCCTGCACCCTTGGCATCCCTTTGCCTTAAAGGGCAGCTCACCATGTTGCGAATATGCTCTCCTTTCTTCCATTTTCCTCTGCTGCTCTCGAGCAAGTGGAAACGCAGATATCAGCCAAGGGAAGCCTTCCTTTGCCAGGCACTGTCCCAAGATGTAGCAGCGTAGGGGCAGCAAGAGCTCTGCTCCACAGGACCTCTCTTTATCTTGCGCTGTTGGGACAGGACTCCAAGAAGCCCAGAGGAGAGGCCTAGCTCCCAGGTAGGCCCCGCACAGAGATAAGCCTGCGGGATAATGGCTGAAACAGCACATTATAAACCACTGTTATTATAAACTGCGCTTTCACACCAGCCCCCCAAGGAAACCTCCCTGCGGCGCGGGGCTGGGCAGGACTCGCCAACCCCAGGGGAGCTGCTGGCAGGACACGCATAGCTATCGGAGCCCCAGAGAAGTCTCTATACAGTGACCCCCTAGGAGCCTGGGTCCTTCCCATACAGGAGAAGTGGAGCTGGGCAGCCTGGACACCTGGGTCCCCCCCCCCAAGAGGGACTGGTGGCGGTGGGGGAAACAGCCCAGCCTGGAGACCTGGGTCACCTCCACCCTCGGAGGGAGGGGGAGGGGAAAGCAGCCTGGGTCCCCCCAGTGCTGGGGATCAGGCAGGAG